AATCTGCCTTTTGACTCCCAGGGCCAGGAAAACTGGTTGAGGCCCCAGAGACCAAAGAGTGATCTTGGATTGGCACAGTGGAGAAGAACTGGTGGCTTTTCCTCTTCCACAGGCTCTGTTGGGCTGCACTTTGCCAATACCCATGTCTGGGGCAGCCTTGACTCCTCTGCTCTTTGCCTACCACTGTAAATACCATCCAAACCCCAAACTCCTCTATGCTCCTTCTGCCTGCCTCCCACCCTCCTCCCTTGGATCAATTTGGCACCATCAAGTGAGACTTGCAGCCAGGCTTTGGGTTTAACTAGATTGCTGCAGCAGAATGGGAAATATGCAGATGAAAGAAAGTCATAGCAGGAAGTAATTTCCCTTTACTAGGGCACGAGCCTCCACGCTGCTGACCTGGCTGGCTAACTCCCATCTCCAGGCTATTAAACAGCTCATGTCCCCAGGGCAAGCATTTCAACCAACTGGGAAGGCTCCCAGATTGACTGGTTTTCATGTCTAAGAGGGAAAGCTTTCATTTGGCCTATTTTGTTCCCCTAGTAAGCCACCCTCATGAGAAAATCTGCTATAAATATTCATCTGTTGAGAACCAAAAAATCCAACTTCTCCACAACCTGTTTTCCTCTAAAATGGAGAAAAAGCAACCCCTATTAATCTAGTTCAAACTTTCTTATGTTTGTGCCAACCCTCCACTGAGAGAGCTCAAACTCCAGAGCAGAACTGGCACTTCCCAGTCTAGAAGGGAACAACAAAATATCCAGGAAAAGCTTTTCCACAACTTCCCAGTTCCAGTCATTAAAATGTAACTCACTAGATTATCATTATCCTCTAGAATGTATTGCTCCTTTCAAAACAGCCACATGGAATTAAGGCAAGTGCATCTCCAGGTCTGCTTTACCAGCAGCCCAACAACCCCTGGGCAGCACAGGCCTGACAAAACACACAAGAAAACAAAATCTTATGTGCCACTAAGTTAGGAAATAAAGCCTGTCCTCTGTTTAACTCCTGTAGTATGGCAATTTTCTAAAGGAAATTACTTCTCACTGAATGTGCTAATTCTCATTAAATTTCCATTTGTTTGATGCCAGCAGATGAAGCATAAAAAAAGAAAGAGGAAAAATGCTGCAGTAGAAAAATGATGGCTGGAAACAGCAGAAGTATCATAACAAGCACTTCACAGCTCTCATTTCAACCCAAAATAGTATTTTCTTATCATTTTCAGTTTCCCCTACTCTGTTTTTAGTCATTCTTTGAACACTAACTCTCACTGTTGCCTTGGGAATTTGGGCCAAATAAGGACTGAACAAACCATGGACAAGGATACACTCAAGCAGTCTTTAAAAAGCTTACCAAGCACAAAATGCCAACGGAATATTGAACATGGGCAGGTATTTAAAGAGTGACAAGTCCAAAATCCTGATCTACTGCAGTGCAGGGCCTTTTCTGCTTCAGGAAGAGGAAAGAAGCACAGTGAATCCAAGGAAACTGCTGCTGAGGACTCCCAAATAACAGCAGCTCACTGCCTTCCCTGAAGGTGGTCTGATGGTGGCAAAACAATTACAAGAGCAGGAAAACCTATTCCTGGACACATTACAGTCTGTTAGAAACCTGCCATTACCCTCCACTGATGGACTTTGCATCAGCCCTGAAGTATCTGAGACATGTGGACATCATGCCCATTTCCTACAACTTACACATTTTTCAAGATTTAAAGCACCATAGTCTCAAAACCTTAACTCAGTGTGTAATGGGTTTAACATATATTTTACATCTTAATTTGCCATAATAATGTGGCTATAAGCTGCTGTCATTCACTCCCTTTTTCTGACCTTGGAAATAAAATGTTTAATCTCCACGGGATTTTCCTGGCGAGATGTTTTAAATCAGTGCATATGTACATACTTCTCTATATGCTTTTTCAATTTTCCTAAAATATTCTCATATGTGCAGACATGATGACTAGACATGTTTCAGTGGTGCTTGAAACTTGATACAAGTGGGTAATTTAACCATGTAATTGAACAATATTACAGAAACACACGGAGTTTCCTAGCAACAAAAGGCCTTGGACATCAAGATGGCAGCCAGCAGCTAACATTGCAATTGCCTGACCTAACTTGAAAAGAAATTTCACTGAAGAATGTCCTCCTTCCTCCCAAAGCAGAACTGGTTCATGGCTACAGGTCTGACCTCGAAGGGCTTTGCTTACAGGCCTTACTCATACACAAGGTCATGAATATCACATGAGAAAGGACATTTAGGGAACATTTCTATTTTCCAGAGGGAAAAAATAAAGAAAAAAATTCTGAACCATCAAATTTACCCCTATGGAAAGTTAGAAGCTTCCTAATGTGAAGTAGCTGGTTACAGCTGAGCTTGTGGATGGAAAACTCCCCATTTTTAGGGCATTGCCAGGGCATCAAGGGAAAGGTGGCACAAGTGCCCTGAGCCTGGAGGCCACCAGTGCTGCTCTGTGTCACCAGTCCCTGGGCAGAGTCCCATGGCTGGGAAAACAGGACACAGAGGGATGGCAGAAGATCATCTCCCTTCTCTCCTTTTCCCTCATTTTCAGCCATGTCTCACTGCAGTACTCGGGAGGAGGAAAACCACAAGACTTTAGTCCAAGCTCTTTTTTGCTGAAGCGAGTCAGTTGGCTGAGCAGTCATCCCAGAGGGCTGAGGGCAACTGTCCCCTCTGTCAGTGCAGGGGGAGGTGACAGCTGAGATGAAAAGCTTCTGACCAGCCACTCTCAAAGAAAATCTTCTCCTCATGGGCAAGAGGAAAGCGTGGAAGAAGCCACCAACTCTCGAGGGTGCAATGACCCCAAAACTCCAGGACTGAGGCACAAGAGGGCACTGAAAAACTTCCTTACACCCTTCCATGCTCAGAGCTTCCTTCAGTTAAACAACAGAAGTCTCTATTCCCAGTTACACCATGACTTCATTTTTCCATCTGAAGTAGCTAACTGTTGCTTCAAGAAAAATATCAGAAATTGCTAAGTTTTCATTCAGAAAACAGCTAGTCTTGGGCAGAGAAACAAACCCCTACTAACACCAGAATGATGGTCTACTGGTATTTCCCTAAAATAGCAGCAGCTATTTGTGTGCAGCCTGTCTGTAACAAAGATGTTGGTAGAAAAACCCTCCTTGCCAACACCATTCTTTTCAACGTTGCCTTTCCAGCTCTGGAGGCACTGGCTGCTTTCACAGCCAAGTTTGCCACTGCTATGGAAAACAGGCTGCACATGCAAGCCAGCTGAAGTCATCCAGACTGAAAAGGGCCCAGGCTGCTGCTGCTACCACTGTAAAAATGTTATTTGGAAACCATCTTCTCAGAGAGCTGTATAAGGAATCAAAAATCCGTGGTAGGGATGCAGGCTTGGTGCTTTCCCATTTTTTAGCAGTGACGAACACAGCAAAGCTCTTATCTCAAAATAAAACATTTCTGCCTCTTACAAAGGCACATAAAGCAGGCAGGGCAGAGTGGCCTTATATAGCTGGCCTGGCAATGTCCTGCTCACCACTGCATCTGACACCTTCTGGCACCCTGAATGAACCTCAGCCAGTGTGGATGGAGAGCTCTGCACAGCCTTCCTCTTCCTCAGCTGGAGGCACAGGGATGTCTCTCCATTCTGAAGAGGGGTTGTGCACAGGGAGCAAGAACAGCACAGAGACAAGGCCAAAATCACAAAAGAAAACAAGAAGTAAAGCACTTCACACCTAGGCCAGAACTAATGTAGTAATTATTCAAGCAGAGGTAAATGAGACAGAAGAAATACAAAATTCTCAGTGTCTAAGGGAACATAAAAGCTTGTTGTAGAGGCACAGCAACACAAATCATTTCCTCCACAGATTTGTGCCTTCTGTGCTGCTGTTTGCTGTCTTACAGGGGCTGAGTTTGTAACTGCTAGGGCACATGTGGGGTCTCCCTATGATACCCAGCTGTTTGCATAAGATTTGATGGTATCCAAAAATCCAATAATTACAGGATGGTTCCTGTTAGCACTCAACAATTAAACACAGGGAGAAAGGAATATTTCTATTTCCTAAAGATGCTGCACAGCCTGAACTGCTTCAGACAAAAGGACACTCAGTTTAATTAAGTTTTTGTTTCTTGAGCCTCAGAAAAAAATACCATTTTCCAACAGCACAACTAAAATTTCATCTTAACTAGAAAAATACATCTGTCAATACTTGTGCCAAATCTTAGAGACATTCTCCAGAGTCCTCCCCTTAAATGCTTTTTGATAAATATTTTATCTACCCCTCACTCCACTGCACATTTCATAGCACGAGACCTTGTGAAAATGTCACTATTTCAGGCAATCAAACAAGACATAAATGGCAGTTTTATCCAGAGATTTTCCCCATGTGAGTTTTCTCTACAAGGTAAAAGCAGATTAGGCAGACCAGACTTGCACTGTTCCTCTGCTCCAGCTGAATATGACACTATTTCATTGAGTCATAATATAATATAAATGAAGCAGATATGCTTCATTTGGTTTTTGTGATCCAAAACCAGTGCTCAAGTTTAGGTGACCTCAGATTTAGGCAAATCTGAAGAAATTTAAATACTGCAGAAAAATCCTAGTCAAAGCTCTTATCACTCACTCACTTCTTTTTTGGTAAGTTGCTACAAAGCCCAGTGACAAAAGATTGCTTTCACTCAGATCACAGGAATTCCTGAGGAGTTCTGGACCATTTTGGGGCTTCAGGTTCTGGGACAGCTCATTTCTCATTTACTATTGGTACAAAACATCAGATACAGGCAAAATACCTCGTTCTAGCTGAAGTCTTTGTATTCCAACCAAGACATTGGGTGTGACAATGAGAGGTGCAAAGCACATTTGAACATCTCCCTGCTCTGCAGATCCCTATCAGACATTCTGACTTGAAAACTCAGGATAACAATAAAATTCCAAGTAAATCTACCAGAGGTATTGGCATCTGTTTGATATTTCACATATCTTTCTGAAAAAAAAAAAAAAGATTTCTTACCTTTAGGAAAACGAACCTTTTCAAAATCTTGAAAATTAAGTAACCCCAATATAAATGCAAGCCTTGGAGGGTTAATAGCATCCCATTGAATAAGAAATATGCTATGACAGGAGTGGTGGAGTAGTAGGTAGGCAGATATAGTGTGGCACGAAGAATCCTAAAAAACAAAGATTATTGTTATGGTGCAAGATCTCTTCCTTATGCTATTTACACTTATTTCTAATCTCATATTCCAAGCTGATTAATATTAAAAAGCTCTGCAAAGATGGTAGATTAATTAACAAGCCCTGCCTTAACTAGATTATGCACCTCTGTTGAAATACAGACTTCAGAAGATGAGAAATTTGAGTCTGGCATGGAAGTACTCTTAGTGAGGTTAGAAAAAGTCCCTGTTTTTCAGATCTCCATCTCTGTGTGGTCTAGATACTGTGCAACTCAGAGCCTGCCTATGCCTTTTTTAGTGAAAATTCCCTCTAATCTGAAATCCACACTCCAGAGAAAATCCTAGAGGCTTTGCAACAGGGCTTTTTGTTAATTAACATATGTTTTGTCCATCTTCAGACTTCACTACTTCTGTATTATTTGGGGCTCTTTGAGTCCCTTTAATCTCATCGTGTTTCGCTTCCAAGCTCAAGAACTGAAGAACAAGAAACTCAGTGAAGCAAAATGATTGCAGATCACTTGTACAGTTAATTAAAAAAACAACAATAAAGTAAAAGACATCAGCATTTCTGAAAGAAAATACTGCAGGAAATTAAAGCCTTATGTTGATCAATGTTCAGAACTATTAATTTAACCAGCTTGAGTCTCTAAGGGTTTGTCCATGTGCAGGGAGGAGCAAATTAGAACTGTGAATGTGAAACACATTAAACACTTTTTAAAAGATAAACATGTTAAGCACCCATGTGGATACTCCAAAGCAGATTAAATCATAGCACTCCAAAGGCATGCAAGTATTTAGCAAGTTAAGATTTATTTGTGCTGACTTCATAAATTAATTGGTTCACCTAAACTTCTCTGAGGGCTCCTCATGTGGGTGAGGTGAGGCACTACCCAAGGACTGGGTAGCAGAAAGAAGGCTCTAAAAATGAACTAGAGTCATGTACTCTGACTTTGCAGCTACAGCAGAAAGGGTGGAATGAAAGGGAAAAGGATTTCTCTTAGTTAAGGAGCTCAGTCCCCTTGAAAATGCAGGGGCTAGTAGCATTTAACTGCTCTTTACAAAGCAAGTTACATAACACATAAAAGCTTTTATTTAGGTTAAAGAGGCTCATTTAAAATTATTTTTACATAATAATTTTTAAAGAAAATGGCAGTTTTTGTCAATTTTCTCACTAGCAGAATTTTCAAGTCTGGTCCGTTCCTTTCCTTTTTCCATCAGAACCAACACTCAACTTTCAGGGGGAGTGAGAGTGAAGTAAAAGTCTGGGACTGGATTAAATCTTGCTTACCAGAAGGGGAACAGGATCATCCTGGTGATGAAGAATGCAATAGAGAAGATGATGAACAGTATGTTGCAAGTTTTCTCCCAGCGAGCATAATTAAACATTTTGGCTGCCTGCAGTGGATAAAAATCCCCAAACATACTATAAATATTCTCTGAAATAAATTCTGTGTTTTCATAAATAAAGAGTCATCTTCCACCTAAGCAGGAAGAGTATTTCTTCCCAGTTTGACATGTAAAGCAATCATTTTACTGATACCTAATAAAGCACCATCAGACCAGATTCTTTGTTTATATTTCTCTTTTTATCTCAAAGGAAAGGATTCTGCTTTAAAGGCCTAAAGAACAGCACGCAGACCAGAATATAAAGTGTCATGGAAACACAAAGTGCTCTTTAGAACAGAGATAATTCCTCATTTTTCCACCAGATTCCAAACAGACTGAATCCCAAGAGAAGCTGCTGCCACACCTGCATATTCAGGAGACCCCTTAAATGCAGGTGTTTGGGACATGCCTGTTACTGACCCTGCTCAGGGCCTGATCCAGCTCCTGGCTTCTCCTTTTTGAGAGCAGGAGATCTCAGTGCTGGTCTCTATCCCACTAATAAGGGCTCTAAGTGCTGCTTCTCCCCTACATGAACTGTCCAGCTCTCCCTGCTCCATTAGGAACCATCCTGGGCAAAGTGGGAGCAAAGCTGCAGGTGCCAAGCCTAAGTTTTAAACAGCAGCTTGATTAACTTCTTTTCTTTTCCTCCTCCTTTTGAGTGGCAGGGCTGGATTAAATTGTTCTGATACCCAACTCCACTTTCCATCCAAGTGCTGTCCTACCAGTTGTCAACTCAACTCTTTGTAAGGCCACAGAGTTAATTGGACCTAGGAGCAATTCAGGATTAAAAGTAAGCCAGCAAGAAAACCTGTTTAATCTGGACCAATCCCAAGTGCACAACCCCACAATTAGTTGTTCTGATACAGTAAGATAATCAGGAATAGAAATGGACAGTGGCACACAACAGCCCACAAGGGCTGCTTACACTGGCACTGCCACCAAAGGAGGTGATGAAACTGTGCCCTCAAACCTGGTGTTATAAACTCAGGGTAATTCCAGTGAAGAAACGCTGTGTGTGTCTGCCAAAAAGCCCAGAAGCCACTCTGATCACAGTGCTCTGTGCAGAGTAGGACACCTCTTAAACACTGCCACTGATATTTCGTGCAGGGAAGGGACTTTCCCTTCAGTCCAGGAGAAGAAACTTTTCTTCTGCCAGAAAATACCTGATACAGGTTAGACTTGATGTCAGAGGTCTTTTCCAACCTCAGTGACAGCCTGGTCTAATTTTATCAGTGAAACACAAATAACCCAGGGAGGCAGCTCTATTTCCAGTCCCTGTTCTGAGGAAATTCTCTTCTGCTTCTTGCTCATAATGTATTGTGTAACAAAGTATCAGCTTAAATTATGTAGAAGCTCTTTTTTATCTTACAAGTTACAAATCTGCCAAGCTGTGTCTCTGCGGGGATAGGAAGGGATCATATGAAACTCGCGGCAGAAAGATTAAAATGTCGCTGACACTAAAAAACTCGGAACAGAAAAAAAGAAAAAATTAAAAAAAAAAATCCAGACAGCTGGACAGCAGGGTTACCTCGAGCCAGAAATCGGCAGTGTCGTGCACGAACATCACCAGAGTTCCAAGGCGCACGTAATTGCCGCACCAAGAGCCGCTCATCAGCCCGATGGCTGCCAGGTGATGAACGACGTGGGCCATGAAATCCTGGGGGGGACAGAAGGAAATCGAGGTGAATGCCAGCCCCTGGGGGTCCCTGGCCGGGCAGCCCCCGGGTCCCCGGGGCTGTGCGGGGCGATGCTGCCCTCCCGTGGCTGCGCCAAACCCGCTCCAGGCGCTGCTGCTCCCTCTCCCCGCTCACCAAGCACCGACAGGGGCAAGCACTTGCCTTGCGCTTGATGTCAATGCCAAGGGTAAATATGAGAGACCAGTAAAAGCCGATCTCGGCCATGTAGTACCAGTACTGGGATGGCAGCAAGGTCTGTGATGAGGAAAAACACGGTTAACTCTGAGAACAGGAAAAAGTAAATGTCAAGTGAGATTACTTCTTTTTTCCTTTCCTGACTTCGGCTCCTCTGGTGACTCTTGCTTAAAAAATTAAGCTAAATTAAATTCCTGTCCTGGGCTTCATTAAGAAGGATGTTCTGAGAGCCAAGTACGTTAACCTTTGCTCAGCCCCAACTCTCAATTCCCACAGTTCCTCCCCCACCTCTGGATTTTAGCATGCTTTTTCTCCATGTTGCTGTCACAGAACTACATGCAGAATCCTTCTGCATTTAATTACAAACAACTGCAAATAAACCCCCTCGGTTTTGGTGAACAATTAACATAATCGACTGAAATGTCAATTATTTATGCTAAAATCCTATGGATCTGCCCAGGGGAGAGCAGAGCTTGGTTGCTCCCTTGGGTCAGGACATTTCCCAGGTGTGTAGCAGGAGCAGGGAAAGCTCAGCTGGAGGCAGGATTATTTGTATTCCTGGCCCCTGCCTAGGACAGGAATAAGAAGGCAGTGGGATGGGGCAGAGTTATTTCAATAAGAGTGCCTTGAAGCACGGTGGGGCCTGGAGCAGGGCAGGGGTTCTGCACCCAGTCTGGGAGCACTGATAACATCTCCAGTGAGTAACTGGTGTCCCGGGGTGGGGGCTGCAGGGGGAACTTGCAGCACAGGCAGATCCCAGGGAAGTCCCGCAGCAGTCGGCAGCACTTCCCGAAAAGGGCAGGATTTGGTGCCACACCTCTGTGGGTGGTGCCCGTGTGCAGGGAAAAGGCCGCTGTAAATTATCCCTTCCAATGGGGAAATACCTGGAATGCCTGGAGGCCACTGGCCCGGTGCCAAAAAGCTCACCTGAAACGGATAACCAACCCACGTCTGCCAGATGTCGTAAAACCAGGGTTTCTGGGGAAGACACCTCAGTCAGACACTGCTCAGCTCAGCAACAATTATCACCTTAACTCAAAATCTTCACTACTTAAACTCTCTCTAAGTGGAGCAGGCTAAGAAGCTGTAATCTTGATAACTGTTCTCCACCAATTTCTAAAGGGAACTTGCAGCTCAGATTTATTATATTGTTCCCAGCTTTTTGGCTTCTCTTCAGGACACCTGAAACGTTCCAGTTCACAATTTCATCATCCAAAGCAGTGGGTGTGTGTTTTATTAGTGCAATTACTCAAGATATGTTGCCACAGTGATTAGATGTGCTGTGTTTACCAGTCACACAGCGCAGGGGATGAGGATGAGGATGAGAAGCAGTGTTTGGGGACAAGGGCCAGATGAGCAGAGACACGCCGGGATCTGTTCCGCTGCCTGGGGAAGCACTAATGACACCCCAGGCAGGGCTCACCGAGCTACAAGCACCAATCTCTGTTATTCCCAACTTCTGACTCAGCAGCAACACCTCAGTAAATAGCTGTGACCACCAAAAGTGCTGCCAAAAAAAGTTTATGGTGTCCTCGGAGGAAAACATGGCCATGTGATGCATTTGTAGGTGTTAACAAGGCATGTTGTAAAACCATCTGCGTGACTTCTTCAAGCTTGCCTTAAAAATACTGATTACTCATAAATTCCTTTGTCATAGAAGGTCTAAAGTTTAACTTAAAAATTAAATCTCAGTGCATAATGCAGCCCATCATCCAGATTACATACAGCAAAGATCTGATCCCACAGAGCCATTGAACTCACAGTCTTTCAATGCGATTCAAGAAAATCTAGAAATTATTTTGTTTAAATAAAGTATCAATCTTTCAAAAAGTTAACTTACATCATACAGAAATATAAATCCAACAATGGAGGATGTCAGATAGAATGAAAATCGCCAGCTGCAAAATTGAAATGAAAAAATAGGAACAAACCATTATATTTTGTAAAGATATTGTCCTGAGCCACAGTTACTACAGATCATTGTACATCACAGACAATCTTCACATAAATGTGGCCTCACACTCAATGTTAAGAATAGACACATATTAACTGTATTTGAATTATTAACACTTAAATATTTAAGGTTTGATTCACTGCTAAATAAGGAAATTCTTTTACATTATGACGATACAGATATTTGAATTGTCATGACAGCAGTAATTTTCCAGCCAGGCTTGAACTGATCAAGAGAATGACCACAAAAAGTGTAATAAATCCCCTAAAAATTAATGTTTGAGAACACAAACCTTTTCCTGGGTTCATTCACTTCATCTCTCTAAACACCAATTGCTGACAACAGGGGAGCCTTATGAATTATTAGAATCTACTGGGTTAGTTTAAATCTTGCTACAAGGTCTCAATTAACTATAACCTCATCTTTGACTAGGTGTGCCAGAATTTAGCCTGATCTAAGCTTTTTGTAGATTAAATGGATATCCAGCAAGGCAGATAAACCTTCCAGCTTTGCACCATCAGCTTGCTAAGTCAGCAAAGGGAAAAAGCTGTTGAGCATCTCAGTGAAGTGTGCTGCTGCTCTGGGGTGTCAGAGCAGGCTGCTGTCAGAGGGCTGATGACTCTGGAGCCTGTGTGGGAGGCATTGTCCCCAGCACTGGGTGTGGCTGCAGCCTCAGCCCAAGCATTCCCACTCCCACCTCGACAGGTGATGGAAAATTCCTTCCTTTCCACTCTTCCCCTGGGCAGGCCAAGCCTGACCTTTCCCCTGAGCAGCTCTGCAAGTGCAGTAGGAAACAGTGCAGGACTTCACAGCAAAGGAGGGTTGTGACAAGGGACAGGCACAGGGCCCCAGAGCTGCTGAGAACTTCCAGAACCAGAGTATTCCAGAGGAGAGAAGCAAGCAGCTCCCAGACAACTCAAAAAGGAGAAAGCACCACAAGAACACTGTACCAGTGGATTGAGAGATGTAGAAAATGACATTGGGGTCTTTGGCAAGCTTTAATGAAGTGCCAAATGAGAGAAGAGGAGGAGAACCTGTGTGGTAAAAGCAGCCCCTACTTTCTGAGCCCCACATCCCCAGGAAGCTGATATTCCAGGAGAAAGAATGAGATTTTTCAAAGGCTGAGACAGTGTTTTTTATGAGAAAAACAACAAACAAAAATGAGGATGCAGAATGTCGGAGGTGAGACAAAATAAATTGTCTCACACCTGAGAAAGAAGTCAGGAAAATAATTATAAAATTGCCACTTGATACACATGTGATAAACAACTGTTTTTCTTCTCAACTTTATCTTCCCTCAGATGATTTGAAAATAACACTACACAACAAGCACTGCATGAACAGGAGAAGCACAGAGGTACATGGTGGAAATTGCAGAGTGGAGCCCACAAGGAATACCTGGCTCAGAGTTAATCAAGAGGTGCTGGAAAACACAACACTGGCATGGGACAGACCTTACACAGCAGCTGCTTGTGCCCTCATGCCTTCCATTCCAAACAAGGTGTGAGTGGCCAGTGGATATGGCAAAATTTATTCTGTGTTGGTTGTAAAGTGCAAGTGGGGTTTTCTGAATAGGATTCAAAGCACAGAGCACCTCCAAGACTGTGCCATTAGTCCCCAGCCCTATTATATATTTTATATATTGAATGCATTTGGCCATAAACAGCACTTCAGATGAACTCATTCTGCGTGCAAGGCTGCCAGAGCACTGCCTCATTTTGCACTGAGCCCAGCTTCTTTATGAATTTGGTGAATAAAACCTGAAGTAAAACTCATCCAAATTCGCCAAATTTTACTCAAGTGCCTTTTAAACTCTGATCCTGGCCACCAGAGAGAGCACTGAACAAGAGCTGTGCAAGAGGATTTTCTGGTATAACTTCAGGAATCTTTTCTCTTGAAGTGAATGTAAGAAAAAAGAACTTGGTAGGGGAAGTTAAAGGCTGGTAAATCTTACAAGGCAGTGAAGTTTCGTGCAAAGGGCTTTCCAAACCCCAGGGTTGCTTAACTGGGAGCACTAATAGCATAAGTATGGTTTAGATCTGGCTCATCAGATTTTCCTTGTGATTCAGAAAAAAGATCCTGGAGATTGCAGGCTTTCAAAAAATTTCATAACGCTCATAACACTGACTATTAGAGTGGAATAACTCTGTTCCTCATTTTTTTTGCCTAGAGAATTATATTCAATTAAATTCACTGACAAAGAGCAGAGCAAGGTTCAAAAAATTGCACAAGAGAAACCTGTTTGCTTCATTCTCACTCAAGCTGCCAAGCAAGTTGGAATTTCAGTCTTTAGCTGTGTGTTACTAGAGACTGGCACACATGGCAGGCAGGTCGCTTAGCAAGAGCAGGAAATCTTATTGTCACTTCTGAAACCAAACTATCTGATCCCTAAAACAACAGCAGACATAAACCATGGCAGGAGAGTTTCCTCAGCTCAGACTTCAAAGAGACACACCTCTGTCTATCATCTGGATTTATGTCTGACTGAGGACACCACTAAATCATCATCACATTGATTAACACTGGAAATAATCTTGATAAAGTACTCAACTTTAAGCTCTGTGCTGTACTTTTAACCCTCATGCCTTAAGCTGATCTACAGTTACAGAGGTTCAATATTATAATCAGGTGAAGTTTTGCAAATGTAATTAGGCTAATGCAAAGCCAAATACACAGAGCATTTGAAAGTGCTTTACACTGGTACAGCTCATGTCAGTACCCAAAAGGGATGAGCTGTGCCCATTTGGGGATTTGCAATTTGTGTGAGATTTTAGATCACACTTAAAGTGTTTAGGTATGAGGAAGTTCTCACACATAAGTGAAAAATCATATGCAGGAGGTTTTGAAACTTCTTACATATTCATTACTGTCACTCAAAGCTGCTCACTGGCCCACTCTCAGCAGGGACTCTGAGTTCCTCTTTCACACAGTATCCCATGATCAAGCTGTGGCACCTGTCCTTCAGTCTGGATGCCACAATTCCTGCTCTGGAACTGACTTTGGTACACATGACAGCATCCCAAAATGACAGCATGGGTACAAACTTACCCCAGGGTAAGCATTGTTGTTCCCCTATGATTACTGGCAGACAGGAAAATATTTTCATATTCTCTGCCTGTTTTCATCTTACATGTTGTACCAGGAGCCTACAAATCCATTATTCCACAAGGAAAAAAACTATAAAATATTGTAAGGTTGTTTTTTTTTTTATCCCCAGGAGAAACAGTTCACCTAAACTTTTAACCATCATTTGGAGAACTGCTACTAAATAATTTCAACTTTGTGCATTCAGAAACCCAAACCCCCATCAGGCAGACCCAGCCTTCTGGAAAGGGGGGATCTCAATAATTTTCTTCCAGAAGAGACAGCAGTGATAACCAAAGGCATTGTCTTTCCTTACAAAGCCTCCTGGAACTTCCGGAGCACGGTTGGGATCTCCAGGTTTCGCCGTCTCCTGAACCATTTCTCCACCAAGTGGACGGTGCAGTTGCACTTCTTGGCAAGGCCTTTGATCTCTGACTGCAAGAAATGAAACAGTGTTAACAGGAGATGTCATTTTCATTTATTTTGTAGTTCACAGAGGAGCTTCCCACTGTTGCAAGGTCTTAATTTAAAAATATTACCAATATTAAATATGCATGGAGGGTATTTTTGAGTAATGCCCACAGAAACCCTGGATTTTTATTCATGTAAATAATGCAGGCACAAAATGAACAGATGCACAAACTCTGCTATTATCTTTCTGGTCACTCCTGAGAGCTTCAGAGACAGAACTTTTACTGTTAGATGAGAGCTTAGGCTGGAGGGGGAAGTGCCATGATTGGAAAGATGTGGACACAGCACCTAATATCTTACCTAATCATAAATATTAAAATTTGTTTATCTATGAGTCCCACAGATGAGAAGTGGCCTGGAATCAAAGTGACCTGAGCTCAGTTCTCAAATCCAAACTCAATCTATCCTCCTGAGCAAGGTGCAGAGTGCCCCACTCCAGCACCAGAACTAAACTGGGGGTGGAGCAGGGCCTAGAACTGCACGTGGCCATGGGGGTGCCACACTGGGGTCTCTGCATCCCCTGAGCTCCCATGGTGGCCAGGCCAGCACGTGCCCAGCACAAGGCAGTGACACTCCTGCACTTTGGGGAGCTCAGTGCCCCACATGCAGCAGCCTGTGGCCTTCCTCCCTCTCCTCCATCCCCAAGTGCAGAAGTGTGGTTTGACCTCCCAGGGCTGCCTCAGGAGCAAGGAGAGTGTTTGGCTCATCCCTGGGGAAGTATGCAATAGTGGGTGGCAGCAGCTGCCTCCACCGAGGTGAGGCCAGTCCAGGGAGTCTCCTACCCTCAGGGAAACCTCTGGAATGTGAGAAAAGGCACCTGAGCTGCCAGGGAGGGCTGGAGTGCAAACAGCCACCGTGTCCAGCCCACCCTCTGGCTCCCAGCTCTCCACCTGCCACGCAGGAATAGCGACTCTGTCTCCAGAGAGCAGAGCCCACGTGCCCTCAGCTGCCTGCCAGCCTTTCCCAGGCACACTGCTCCCCAGGCTGGACACCTGAAGGAGGCAGCTTGAATCTATCCCATGCTCTGAGGAGTCTAAAAATGCTGTGCTTCCTTCCAGAAATCAAATGTCCAGCTGTACTCAAGCAGAAAGAAGGAATGAAACTGAGATTGGGATACTTGCCCAGAGAGAGAGGGGCTCGTGTGTGAACACCCGTGCATTTATTCCTGATGTTATCAGGCAAAAGAGACAATAAAAGAATGTCAGAGTTAGGGATAGAATGCCAAGTTCCACTATCAATAATTATCAAAATCCCTCATTACTAGAAAGCAAATATTTCTTTTCAAAACCAGTGTAGGAAAACTGCAATTGTTCGGGAACTGTAGTCAGGTAAGGGAACTTCCTGAGGCAGCACTCACAGCAAAGTACCTGCCTCCCATAAAAAAATCAATGGCCTCATGTTTGGAGGTGACAAGCATTGGCTAGTCTTTTTTCCTTGTTCAATTTTAAAAACAAACAGCAGGGTAATAGAAGGATTGCTTTTCTTTCTCACATAAGCCAGGATTAAGTATGCAGTAACATAACGGATCAAAAGGCTTCCGTGCCAGCATTCCTGCAGTAAATACAATCCTGCTTTCCAACAACAGACATCAGCTGAAGCTTCCTCCAGGCAGAATGAGTTAAAGATGGAACACTAATCTTCACTGGAAATATTATTAACAATCTAACCTAGAACAGCGTGCCAGAAAATTAAACATCTTAAACGTATTTTCTGTTTCGGATGCCATACACCCTTGTCAGCAGAACAGCAACAAAAACCCAAATAAATTAAGTCATCTGTCAATCAGTTGGAACTCATCCCATGATGTCATTGCTGAGAGCTGATTGAAACAGTAAGAGTGGGATTTTCCAAAAGTAAAATGAGTTTGGAAGAATGAGAATCCTTACTTGGGATGGTTGTCTTGAGCACTCCCGGAAATAACTCTCTAGCACAGGATTAGGCTGCGGCTTCACACGTCTTACATTCTTTATACCCAAGGCTTTTGCTAAAGGTATAGCAACATATCTGAAAAGACACAGCAGGAAAAGCTTTAGAAAAAACACAGTTACAAGACCTTGGCTGTTCTCACGCCAGGATACAAAGAAAACAAATCGGACGCAATTTAATCTGCCATAGAAAGTGCCAGCGCACTGAGAAAAAGGGACCTCCCCTAGCTAATCCCAAGAGGGAACCACAATTTATCAGCTGTTATACAATAAAGAAGACCCAAGGAATGCAGTTTGTGGCCATGAAATGCTGTTAAACTCAAGGAAACATCCTGACTTTCGTGGTCATCAGAGGAGTGTTGAGGTTGAGTGAAAGGAGACCAGAGGCTGTCCCATGTGAGCTCAGGGTCTGATGCTGGGCAAGTTCCTCCAGTGGCAAAGTCACCTGGCACCTTCTTCACTGGGCCACCAGCACAGATCAATGCTGGATCCAGCCTGTGGCACACAGCCATTCCCTGAGACTGATGCATTCTCTTTCCCTCCCTTTTCCACCCCAGATTACTGCAAAGTGCTCCAAAGGTTTCACCTCCCTGCTTGGGCAGGGTGTTCAGGGACAGCCCGTCCCTCCTGCTCTATCAGCCATGGATTCCTCATTGCTCAGAGCAGTGGTCAGCTTTCCCCAGACTCACTGCAGCCAGATGTGTGGGCTAATTACCCTCAGCACTGCAGTGAGACACACTGGCAATGGTTATGAACATATGATCCAAATTACTTTTCATTTCCAGCATGAATGATCTTATCTGCTTCTGGTTTAAGTCTGTCCAACTTACGACATTCCAAATTTCCTCATTCTGTCCTGAAATAATTATAAAAGCCTACTAATCACATCTTTTAGAGGAAAAAGAAAAGAAAGTAAAGCAAAAAAGGTATAAATAAATAAGTCAAAACATGGCAAATCTCAATACGATTTTAGCTTTTTTCTGTGGAGCCAACATCTGCCTGTCCCCCAAGATTGCAGCTGCAGAAGCAATTCACTTTTTGGTGCCAAAGAGAGGGGGAAAAAAAAGCAACCAGCTTTACTAGATCTGCATAAAATGTTCACATGAAACTTTGAGATCCCTCCAGTCTGCTTAGCTTGGCCAAAGGGAGACACCTGGGGTCTATCAACCTCACACGAATGTTCTGATGCAGGACAAAATGAGAGGTTTGGTTGAGAGAACAAATCTCTCTGGCCTTCCACTGAAAGAGAAAAAGGAAGCCCACATGGTTTAGAATGGAAAGAAGATCATCAGAAGTATCCAAATGCTGTTCTAGAAAAGCTAGATAGAAACATTTCTCTTCTGGATTGGACCATGGCTACACATACCTAATAAAGAAAATATTTTCCCATTTTTCACCTGCTGTGTTATCCATACTAGATCTTCCCAGTACACCACCAACTAATCCTCCTTTATAAAACATGACATTGATCTACAGATACCTCATTTTCAGCATTAATGAGGATGAATTGCATTTCAGTTTCTTACCTCTCACTGAAGAAGCGGATGATGAGCAGCACGAAAGCGTACGGGATTGTGGCGTACAGCTGGTGGGGTTTGGGAAACACGAGTCCCTCACGGTCCACAAAATCTGCCCATGTGCAGTTGATGGGCATCCAGATATTCTCCCACCAGAACCAGCTGTTGAGTGTCTTTAGGATGTATGCCATGCTGAGTAAATCAAGAGAGAATTTCATTTATTCCTCATGTATTAAAGAGAAAATGCATGGAAAAAACCATATTGAGCCTGTGTAAAGTCAGTGTTCTCAGGGGGAAAAAAAAATCATACAGGAAATTAAAACCCTCTTGGTTTAGAGCAAAGAGGTGGGATTATAACCTAGCAGAAGATAAAATAATAAAGCCAAATTTTGACCTGCTATAAACCAATACAGGGCCTTTTAAAGTACCTGCTGCCTCCTTCCAGTCACTCACACTGCCCTGCTTAGCACCTGGTCAAACCTCCTGCACCACTCATGTATTATCTATCATATTCATACTAATGAGAACTGATCTTCCTGGGGCTGCCTTTATAAATTAAATATAAGTGGGAGGAAGAGTGGAAAAGAGATGAGAGGGTCCAGGGAGTGCCTCAATTCCATAATAATGAGGGCATTGCACTGATGAATTACTGCTGTCTAATATGCTAATGGAAATATATCCTGAACTTGCAAACACCTGAGCACAGAACAAGTGGGGGGGAAAAATACTGTGCATAGCAAGATTTTTCTGGGAATTGTGGGAAATTATATGATTTAACTGTGACCAAAACCTAGATCAGGAACAAATGTCTAAAATAAGTCTGGAAGGAAAAAAAAAATCACTTGGTTAAAGCATTTAATTCTTGAAAAAGCCTCCTTTTTAACTTTTGCAGTCTACATTATATATTTAGAAATTGCTGTTCTCTCTTATTTATTTGTAAGGATTTTACAGTACAAACATTTTATATAGCCTATAAAAATATCCTAATGTTGAAGAAAAATAGAAGTTACTACAGTATTTTCCATAAGGCTGAAACACTATTTTTCCATGATTTCTAGGAATAGTAAACTTGAATTACTTTTACCATGCTACAAGTTTCTGTAAACCAGGAAAAACCTGAGGAAAATAACTAATATCATTGAAACATAGCCTTGATGAGGAAACAGTTGAGCTGGGAGGATGATTTCAGCCAAATCTTTATCTCATCAGAAGATCTCCCAGCAATATCTTGAGTTGAGATCAAACCATGCCAAGGTCAGGCATGGTCTCAGGGTTTCAGCCCTTTCCATGCTCTTCCAGGGAACACAGGGTTTTAGTTGTGCCTGCAGCAAGCTCAGGACACCATGCCCAGAGCATCCCAGACCTGGACACAGCTTTAATTAACACTGGAGCCCATGTTAATTAACAGCCAAACAATCATTGCTGGTCCACATTGGGCTGTTTGCACTAAGCTTGGAGCAGGTTTGTGGAACAGAGACCTGCACCCATCAAACAGAGCTGGCAAACTGCAGATCCATGGACTGGCCCAGCACAGTAGTCAGAATTGAACTATTAATAACCCAGTCATTTAATCTTTTTAAATGCAGGAAGGGGACAGTAAAAACCTCCTGAATGAATCGTGTGTGTGTATAAGTAAATGCAAAAATAAAGGAAGGAGAAATCACAATTGTTCCTGAGAGACTTTATATGCCAAGTTGCAGCCTAGAGCAATGTTTTACTGCTGAATTATAAACTCCTGGAAGTGGGGATTTATGCTGGGGCTGCTAACAGACCCTAAACAGCAGCTTGCAGGCGCCACCCTAATGAAGCAGGGCTTTGAAACATGACATTTTGGGTCAGACAGAAAGGCTTGCAGACAGTAGAAGACCAAGGGAAAGCCTTGTTACACACTTCTGCTTCCTAATATATCTATATTTTTTAGCTAGACTGTGCACTGCAAGCTGTCCCAGAGTGTAATTAAAAGAGGCCAGTCTGTTATGGCCCAGTGGAAGGAGCACTCACAGTTGCCTTGTGGTGAGATGGGCTGGGGCTGAGCATGCACCCAAAACACTGAAACCTTAGAAAAACCCAGTAGTGAATATTTTCTTATAGGATTCCTGGGATCTCTCTAATTGATGGTTTTCTTCCACACATGGATGCCTCACCATATGATTACCTCTTAAACTAGTTAATATAGCACTATTAAACTAAGCTTATAAGTACATGCCTAATCTTAAAGTATAAGGGAATTCTGGGATTTGAGGTCTGATCCAGAGTTCACTTATTTCAGGGGAAATCTTTCCTCCCAATCACTAAACAGATTTATCAAAAGGTGGGTTTTCTGGAACTCTTCTGTAATCCCTGTATTTGTATGAGGACTGGCCCCTGGGGGTTAGACCATCCCTGAGGAACACTGCCCATGTGATTCTGACAAAACCAATGATGAGATTCCAAATCTGTCTGCAGCCTGCTCTTAAGTTTCATTACCCTTAAATTGGATGTTTTCACTGCAGCAAATCAGGCCATTCCCTGGGAAACCATGAAGGTTTCCATCTTCCTAACAGCAGCAGTGAAATACTTGGGCTGCTTTCCTGCCTCCCTTCAGCTCTCATCATCATGTTCCTGGAGCCCCTGGGAGGTGAGGAATTCCTTACAAACACTGACCTGAGCATGACAGGGGACAGCTGTGGCCACCAGCCCCAGTGCTGGGAGCAGGCTGGAGAAGCTGGATTTCAGAAGTTTTTTTGTTTTTTACTTGCACAAACTGTCACGAGTTCTCTCCCCTGCCAAAGCTGCTTTCAAAGAACGGGCAGCAGATGCAAAGGTAAAGCTTGGTCCCTGATTTGGGACCAGCTCTAACTAAAAACTTAAAATCCTACTCAGCCTAAACCTCCTATTGCTGAGTGCTGAGCTCAGAGCTTCTCCTCACAGCCTGTGGCAGCACCCAGCAAGCAGCAGTGAGAAACGCAGCAGTGAGTGACTCATTCTGCCCAGCCTAGGGTGAAAAACCTCTGCCTTCACCAGATTCCTGTCCATAGAGCAGCACTGCCAGGAGCACTTCCCCTGAAAAAAACTGGAATCCTTGCTCTGGAAGGGGCAAAAAGTCAGTCAAAAATAAAGATATTTTAAAATACTCAAGTTCCTCTGCATTGCAGGGATTAAATACTCCCAGTAAAGAAATCAAATAATCTCCCTGTTATGGAAGGATCACCTCTGTAGCTTAATCTAGTTTTAATGGGCTAGTGCAAAACAGGAAAATCAGGAATGATTACTTCAGGAGCTGCATCCTTTATAATTAAAGGAAAGCCCACACAGTTGGCAAGTACTAATGCGAAGTTTCTTTCAAAGTGCTGTCTCTTGGATCCTGGATATATTCAATAAAAAAAGCCCTCATATTTTTAATGATATTAAGCAAAGAAAAAAAAAGAAAAAGGGCAAATCTGGGGTTGACAAAAGCTGTGCGGCTGCATTTTGCAAAACAAATTCAGGAGCTGCTTTGAAGTGGAATTTCTGGCTGCCGCAGTCTGAGGAATTAATAAAAAGAAACTGAGCCAAAGCTTTGATTGTATTGTCTGTTCAAAAACTCTTGCTTGAAAACTCTGTTTCCAAAGCCAGGACTAAGAGAAGGAGATACCCAGGTTTGCAGGATGTATTAGGAGGATTTCCTATCCTTATTTACTGAATAAATTGCAAAACCCAATGGATCAACAACACAAACATGCAAGTGAATGTGACCTTAATTCTCCTAAGCATCCCCTTAGTCTCCTCAGTGAGGCTCCAGAGGTAACAGGGAAGGACTGAAATCAGCAAGAAGAACATAATTCTCCTATTCCCCTCAATTTGGCAGAGCTGGCAAAGCTGGTGCAGTGACTGTTGGGAAACATCAAGCCTCAGATATCAAAACAGATAGCAAAGCTGTTCATCCTCAACATGAAATAAAAGTGGTTTAAAAGAGCCAATAAAGATCAGATCCACCATATCACAGGCTTTGGTTTTGCTTAAGACTCTGCAGTATTTCCAGGAGTTTACACACAGGTTTCAGCTGCAGATCTGTGTTCTACCACAAACAGGCTGGGTTTTTCTTTTTGACAATGTGTGAAGAATCCAAGTGCACCTACCAGCACGAAACAGCTGAACAGAGCTGGGTCCTGCACACTGACCTGTGCTTTGTGGAGCAAGGGACTGAAGGCAGGATGTTGGATTGATGCTGGCACCTCTTTGCATCCTGTCTCACCTGGTTTGTGCCAGTGGGAAAACAGGATTCCAGCTGGATTCTGCACAGCCCGAGGCTGGGCTGGCTGACACCTCTCCCAGCCCACACAGCAGCAGGGGCAGCACAGAATAAAGCTGCTGGACTCCATTTCTTACAATGAAACCCCAAAATACTGAATTCAAACAGCTGAATTAAGATTGCTGTGAGACCTTTAACTTCATATTTACTCCCTGGCTTGTACAAATCTCAACTGTAAACACTTTAAGTGCCTCATTACAGGGCAATTGCAGCGTTTTACTTTTTACTGTTCTTTCACATTGCCTTGTAACTTGGGTACTATATTGAGCAGGCAAAAATAGCACTTTGAATAAATCTCAATTAAGGTGGCAAGTGAGTTTTTATTTTTCCCTGTTCTCTGGTAGGAAAACAAAACCACAAAAAAGTGAACCTGACTTCTTTGAAATAATTCATTATCTGGGTGAAAGTCACCATGCTCACTCTCTACTTAAAGGTAAATAATTTTTGAGCAGCTAAAATGGTTTTAGGTGATGGCAGGCTGCTGAGGAAAGTGAAATACAATTCTCTCACTGTACAGTTCCAGTGCAAACTATATCCACTTTTAAGCTTTAGAAATCCATAAGATGAACAGAGTGGAATAAAGAGCTGTGAAATAACTCAAGTAACTGCAACAATTTTGAGATAAAAAGTAGTTGTTGGAAAAAAACCCTAACCCTATCCAAGCTAGAGGTTCTTGATAGATGATTAATTCACAAAAAGTTTGAACAATCCTAAAGGAACAACACATGTTGCTTTGAGAACTTAGTAACACTTACCAGAATGTAAAGAAAAATCTTTCAAATAATGAGACTTCAAATTTTTACTACTGGGGAAAGACACAAAAAAGATTTTTTTTTTTTTTGCAGCTTACCAAAGCTTTGTTTGAAATACAAACTTAAAGTCTAACTTAAAATGCTAAGCTACATAATGGAGATTTTACCAG